GACTCTGAAAGAGGGTCAGGGGTGTTGGGAAGGAAATAGAGAGGAATAAATCGTTTTGTATGGCTGGAACCTATGGCATCTAAACGATATGTAGAAGTTAAAATTAAATCAGGGCTTCAATAATCTTTAATGTCCAACTAAGAAATTTGAAAATTTTTCTTAAAATAACAAACAGCAATTCATCAAAAACTTCTGAGCATACTAATGATAAACTATACAATAGGATTTTGATTATATTATGGAGATGCCAATGTGTAGGATATAGTAATATATATATATATATTACACATATATTTTTATATCATATTAATACACATGTTTGTAATTATAATATATAGTAAACAAATCTATAATATGTTTTATATATTTAGTTTCTATATATTTAACTTTATATAGGTTATATTTATAAATTACATATACAAAATTATAACATTATACAATTATATATCATTTACGAAATATTTATAAATTTATAATGATCACTTCAAAGTGTACATGATAAATAATGTTGTGTGTGTGTCTGTGAACATACATTCAGAAAGTAATAGCAGCCGGCCTTCAATCTATTTTCTCCCTCAACTGGGGATGTGGAAAACAGAGATCTCCTGGTCAAATTTCTTTGTTAACATGGGTAATGACAGACTTCCTGGTAAATGTAATGATATTTACTTGACTGCTAATGTTCTATTGTTGCAGGAAAGTCCTTATCTTTGCAATGCTTTTAGCTGATGTACACAGCCTCTCTGGTGGCTGAATCCAAATAAGCCTGGAATGTACAGATTCATGTGGCATGGCTCCCTGAAAAACATCACTAATTATGTAAGTACCAGGGTACAAAATCAAAACATTCCATGATCAAAATCGCTTTCTTTCATGTAAATGATGCCCTGCATGCTTCTTTTGAGACCTCACATGTAAAATACGGGCAGGTCCATTGCAGCAAGAAAGGACCTGCAGAGCCGTGGTGGTAGTTTCAGACTTCTCAAGGCTCTCTTTATGTGTGTCTTCCAAATACATGTATCCTTGAAATTATTCTTAAATTAGATATTAGCTAAAATCTGAGTGTTCTGTGTCTAACTTTGAATTAACCTTTTGTGTTATATGTATGTGTGTCTATGTGGGTGCATATACACCTATTTTACTTTATGTGGTAAAAAGTTAACATGTCCCAAATCCTCTAATTCCAGCCCTACTATGAAACTACTTTTACAGCTTGTTGCATATCCTCCCATGTAAATGCATCCTACTCTAACCCAGCCTAAAATTTAAATGTGAGCAAAACTTTGTAACTATATCCACAGTACCTAGAACTGTGTGGCTGGCATATAGTAGGTGTTCAACAAATGCGTATAAACGAATAAAAGAGAAAATAAATATATTGCACATTTTTTCTTTACACAAGTGGGATTGTGCCATATATAGGGCAGCTTGCCTCTTCAGTGAAAAATATAACATAAGTATCTTTTAAGCCTAGTTTACACAGATCTACCTCATTCTTTTTAAAGTCTTCAAAGTAGCATTTTATTATATGAATGTAATATAATTTATTAAACTATTTCTTCTTTTGCTGGACATTGGGTTGTTTCCAACATGTTTTGCATTACCAAATAGGCCTCAATGAGTAGTGGTGTTACTATATCCATGTGTCTGTGCTATTATTTCCATAGGTTAGATTTTTAAAATTATAATGGGTGCTTTCAAATTCCACTCTGTTTTCACTTTTGCTAACCTGAAAGAAGAGAAATGTCTCATGGTGATTTGGATTCTTTTTAAGTACCTGTTCTATGATTCTCTATATTTTTATTTCTACTGTAAAATGCTTTTACCAAAAATTTTAAAAAGTTATATTTCTTATTAATTGATAACCTTTTAAATATAATGCACATAAAGCTTTATTTTATGTGCTACAAATAATTTCTGTTATTGTGCCTTAGATTTTAACTTTTTGGAGGCATCTTCCCTGGTCACTAGTTTTTAATATTTCCATATCCACATGTGCCACATTTATAACCTTTGGAATTCTGCATTTTGCTTACAGTTTCTCGACTCCAAGGTTATTAAAAATGTTCTCTTATATTTTCTTTAATGCACTGAGAATTTTATTTGATATAGTTGAATCATTAATCCATTGAGAATTTTATGGTGGATTTACCAGATGAAAAACATTATTTTAAAACATTTAAAAATGCAATATGACTTCCTAAAGTTTCATACTCCCTTTTTAACATTAAATTCCCATACCTTGATCTGGATCAGAGCTATTTAGACTATAAAATATAAAAGAATTGATATCTAGTTACTGGGTTGAGGGAGTGTTAAAGGAAGATGGATAACTTGAGTGTGACTCCCAGGACTTGGGCTTGAGAACAAAGTGGACTGTGAGGCCATGTATACATATATACAGGGAAGATAAGAGTCTCTGACATGTTTAGCAAGAGATGTCTATGGGAAACCTAAGTAGAAACATACAACTGCATTTGGATATGACTAGAAGTCAAGAGGGGAGATTAGGGCTGTCTATAAAGATATAGGTGACACAGGCACAGAAGTGTTATTTTCCTTCAGTAAATATTTAATATAAAAAATGATAGTATGTGACAGAGTCTTAGAGAATATAAACATTTCAAGGGTAAGAAAAAGAGACAGCAAGGGAGCCTAAGAAAGGGCAGCTAAGCAGGTTAAGAAAAAGCAAACAGAAGTCAAGTGAAGAAAAAAAACCAGGGCAGGGTAGCATCATGCAGCAAAAAGGAAAAACGTTTCAAGATTGAGGAAATGGTGAGTTATATCAAATATAAAACTGAGTAATAAAAGGAATGGTCTGAGAAGTATCGTTTGGATTTGTTAACTGGCAATCCTGGTAAAACACACTTTATTTCCTATGTTGGAGCAATAAACAGAATGCAGTGGTTTGAAAGTCAAAAGGGAAACAGTGGGTATGGATTATTATTTCCAGAAGCTAGGTGATAAAAAGAGCTTTATTAAGCAGAAGTTATTGGAGAGAGGTAGGTTTGAGGGAGTTGTTTTAGTAGACAAGAGAGACTTCATAATTCTTTTAAGCTGAAGAATCAGTGCCCACTAAGAAGGAGTTAATGACACAGGAGGAAAAAAAAAAGCGAAACTAACTGGAGTAAAAGGAATGAATGGAGTCTAAGGCAAGGGGAGAAGGGGCCTCTAATTAAAGGACAAGGGATGGAATGGTGAGTATAGACAGCTATGGGGAAGGGTCTGAGGTTTTTTTACTGGGTGGGAAGAAGAGAAGAAATGCAAACTGAGAGACTTCAAGCATAAAAGCCTCTATTTCTGTTCAGTAAGAAGTACTGTCATGTAACGATGAGGCATAACAGGGTGGGGAAGAGTAAAGACAGTGTCTAGTGGTACTTGGAAATTACCACTTTGGGGGAAAAGAAGAAAAGCTGCTTAGAAGTTACGTGGTAATCCCAATAATCCAGGTAACGTCAGAGCCTAGGAACGTATGGCGACCTTGGTCTATATCACTGTATAATCTTTTCTGCTAATGTGTAAGCTGTGAGGCTAGAAGCACGGACATCATTTGGCAGGTTCACGGTTGAAATTTTGCCAGGTAGTCAGGGAATAAGTTAACTTATTAACAAAAGACAAATTGGTCATGGAGTCTTGGCTATTTCAGAAAGAAAATAAAGCCAGGAGAATATGAATAAAAAATAATAACAGATGGAAGTCAAGGAATTAGAGTTCTTGATTAGGCTGAAAAACTAGTGTTCATCCATTTTCTATATATGTACAAATTACCAACGAACATCAGTTTAATACTCATATTTTATCTTTTCACTTAATGAAAAGAGGGGCTGACCAAAAATAATTACAAGACATTGGTGAAATTACCATTTTGGGGTGGTACTATTTATGAAGAACCACTAAAGTGACAAACTAGAGAAAACACATACATGTCCATTTGGAAAAATAACAATTAAAATTATGGACATTAGGTGATTTTATTTCATTTTATCTAGTGTATCAGAAAAAAAGTAAAATTGTGTTAAGATTTATTTTAGGGGGAAGACATTAGTTCGGAGAGAAGTAGAAGAAACCTCTAATATTCTTCTATGGCCTACCATATTTTAATACTGGTTAGTCATTATTAGATTTAGTTTTGCAAGACAGGCTTAGAAGAGAAGTTTTCTAGTATTTATTTTCGTTAATGAGGCTTAAATAAAATAAGACGTAGCGGGAAGAAAGATAGGATACTTTTAACATGAGAATGAATAGCTGAAGATTTCTCCATAGTAAAATAATCTTTATCTCCATAAATAACACATGAATATTTCTTTGAATGCTACATTTAAGTTTAAAAAGTTACTCATCCCTCAAATATAAGCTTTTCAGTAACTTCCTCTTACCTGCCGTAAAGTGCGTGCCACTATGCTTTCTAATACTGGTCCTCGATCTTCATGCAGCAAATGAACTTCGTCAAGAATAAGGAGCTTTACAATTTGGGAAAGACCTACATCCCCAACACTCTTTCTCGTCACTACATCCCACTTTTCTGGTGTGGTCACAAGCATCTGTAAGACAAGAAAAGAAAATCTTTTTAAGAAGGGGAAAAAGTCACATATACTCACTCTTTAACTTTCAACTGTGTCATTCAAAAAGAAATATGATTGGCCGCCTACATACAGATCAAATGAAAAGTGTTAAAATATCCCAGAATGATATCTAATTCACTGTAGACAATGGTCACTTCAAGAGGACCTTTCTCAAAGTTGTGATATTAAAGTTATTTAAAACTCAATGAGGTATTAGGTAAGTTTTAGTGTGAAGTGCACAAAATACACAAAGTGTTTTAAAAGCTTCTTACAATGTAAAAAACAAATGACCCTATATTTTAAGCCTGCATATACTGATTATGGCATTTATTTCAAAAGAGACAAAAAAGTGAACAAGGCATTAATAGGAGATTGAAAAGAAACCAAGAATCCAAATGTAGAGGAAACTTGACTACTGATACATTAACTACTAAATGCAGTGCTTTATACTACAAACTAATATATGTACCACAGCACAACTAGCAGATATTGGAAACCCAGTTAGTCCCTCCAGATCCAGGGCATGTAGACAGAAGGTAGGCCCTGGGTATTTATGTGAACTTCACAGAGGCAGGCCATTTGACATGAAGCTTAATTATATAATAATCTATTCGCTTTTTACATGTTGAAGTATTTGTGCCCTCTAAAAGCATACTGCGGCAGAAAAAAAGATGGCAAATTTAATAACATCTTCTACTATAATAACATTACATTAGGAAATAATCCCATATGTGGATAATTCAAAGAAGATATTAGGTAACAAATTGAAACCAAAGCTTGTTATCCAGCATATCAGATTATAGAGACTGCTAATAATCACAACACAACTGTGCTTTGAAGAGATTAACACTGAGATGGGGGTCAGACTGTTCTCGCAACATTTTTGTTGTTATTTCATGTGTGTTTTGAATTCACCAATGGGAAAGATAATAGTCTTTAATTTTTTTAGATTGCAAATAATATATAAATTCCTAACAAATGTGCAATCTAAATTTGTCCATATAACCTTTACATTATTAGATGTATCACTGGTACCATTTTGAAATGAACTACACTAACCAAAAAATTTAGCAGTTGTATTTCAACACATTAATTGGCAAACTGTAATGAAATAGGTTAAGGAATTCATACCTAAGGTGTGAAATACTACAAATCCAAAGCTACTTAGTTAATTTGCTAAAGCTAAATGGCAATGTTGAGGTCACATCGAATTTTATGGAAAAAAAAATATGCCCATGGAATAAAGTATAAATAGATATATAATGAATTTTGAGATGTAAAATGGATTGAAACATTCACTGTGCGTTAATTAACATCTCTTTTCTATTACAATAAACTTAAACAAAACTTCTACTTTGAAAAATGACAAACTTAAAATAACCCAATATATTATTATAAATACACTCAGGAATCACTAACAATGCTTTTCAGTAATTCTCCAAACTATAAATTCACGTCACATAAAATAATAAAATAAGCAAGCTTATAATTAGTAAATATTAGGAAAGCTACAAAGTACACCATTAAATTATAATAAGAAACACAAAGCTTAGCTACTTATCTCACCATGAATGTAGAATGCTGTGCCAACTCTTTCTTATAATTAACTTTCAGATATAATAATGTGGTGATAATTAAATTGCAAAATCAAATTTTTCAGATATCAAAAAACTATACCACCAAATCTTAAAAATACATTCTAGAATTTTGTTTTCTATAGTTTACTTTCAGCATAGTGAGAAGTGGCTTGCTTCATTTATATTACTAATATTTCATTACTTCAGTTCTCTAAACTAAAATGGCTAGAAAATAAAGTGTCACATTTCTTTAATGAATTGGAACTCACATTAAGACATTTCCATTTGTTCCAGCATTAGGGCATGGGTTAACTGTCAATATTTTTACTGTCAACTTAAATTTCTCTCAATATATGTGCTTCTTCCCTAAGGAGTATAAAAATCATTATTCCAAACTGTTCCAATTTCAGCCTGTCCACTGGGAAAATGACATAGGTGAGATGTTATACACCGCCAATGTGCAAAAAATTTGGCATATTCAATTTTAAAACGCTCATCCATTTGACAGCAAAACCAAAGGACTTGACAGAACCTAAGACTTTCCAGAACCAATTCATCTGGTAATTCCCTTAAATGTTAATAATACTATTATTATCTTTTGCCTTTTAAAACATTGTGACCTAGGGCAAGTCATTTTATCTCTCTTTTTTTTCCTGTCTGTGTTGAGATTATTATTGACATGTGACGTGTAAATTTAAGGTATACAATGTGATAATTTGATACATATATGTATCAAATATATATATATATGTATATATATATACACACACACATATATACATATTATACTGCAAAATGATTACAATAAGGTTAGGTTAGTTAATGCTTCCATGCCCTTACATAATTACCGTGTGTGTGTGTGTGTGTGTGTGTGTGTGCACGTGCGCACGTGCGCACATGCTGATAACATTTAAGGTATATTCTCTTAACAACTTACAAATATATAATACAGTATTATTAACTATAGTCACCATGTTGTACATTAGATCCCCAGAATACATTCATCCTATAGCTGGGAGGTGGTACACTTTGACCAACATCTCCCCATTTCCCAACCCCCAAGCCCTTGGCAACCACCGTTCTACTCTATGTCTTTTTATTCTTCTTTTTTTTTTTTTTATTAAAGTTTATTGGGGTGACTACTCTATTTCTTTGAGTTTGGCTTTTTTATATTCCACGTGTGTGAAATACAGTATTTGTCTTTTTCTGTCTTATTTTACACTTAGTATAATGCCTCTAATGTCCATCATGTTGTAGAAAAAGGCTGGATTTCCTTCTTTTTATTGCTGAATAATATTCCATTGTACATATATACCACAGTTTCTTTATCCATTCATCTGCTGTTGAACACTTAGGTAGTGGGATGGCTATCTCATATGGCAGTTCTCTTTTTAATTTTTGAAAAACATCCATACTGTTTTCCATAGTGGCTGTATCAATTTACATTTCCATCTATAGTGCAAAAGGGTTCCCTTTTCTTCACACTCTTGCCAACATTTGTTATCTCCTGCCTTTTTGATAATAGTCATTCTAATAGATGTGAGATCTCATTGTGATTATGATTTAAATTTCCCTGATGATCAGTGATGCTGAAATCTTTTCATGTACCTGGTGGCCATTGTATGTCTTCTTTGGAAAAATGCCTATTCAAGTCCTTTGTCCATTTTTTTAATTGTATCCTTTTTTTTTTTGCTATTGAGCTTTATGTTTCTTACATATTTTGGATAATAACTCCTTATCAGACAGATAGTATGATAACGTTTTCTCCCATTCCATAGGTTGTCTTTACATTTTGCTGACTGCTTCTTTTGCTATGTAGAAGATTTTTTATTTGATTAGCTCTACCTGTTTATTATTGTTTTTGTTGTATGTGCTTTTGCTGTCGTATTCAAAACAATCATTCCCAAGACCAATGTCAAGGAACTTTTTCTCTATGTTATCTTCAAGGGGTCTTAGAGTTTCATGACTTACGTTAATTCTTTAAAACACTTTGAGTTGCATTTTGTAAGTGGTATAAGATAGTCGGTAATTTTCACTCCTCTGAATATGGGTGGTGGTTACATTAGTAAATTCACTTTAGGAAAAATTATCTAACTGTTCACTCACAATTTTTGCACTATTCTGTGTTTATATTTTATTTCAATAATGGTAATCTGTGTGTATACATATTACAATAATTATATATAACTTATAATTAAAAACAAAACTTAAATTAAGAAGGGATACCAGAACTGAACAGGTAAAAGGTGAGTAACAGTTGGCCAGACAAAGAAAGAAGGAATATTCTAGACTGTGAGGAAAAAAATAGGCAAATATGTTCTTTGTGCTTCTAACATGCATCGATCACATATCATCTCTTGTGCAATCATGTGTGTAAATGTATCTTTATATGCACACTATAAGCATCTTGATGAAGGGATCAAATATGGAATTTTACATGTAAGTCCAAGTTTTTCAGCTTATTGATTAGAAATATATATTTTTAAGTATAGATGACAGCTTCTAAATTTAGGCCAATTTCCTGCCCACTAATCAATTTTCTCCTCAACCACAGACATCAATAATCACCAAAAGCAAAAAGATAAGGAAGTTCATTATACTTATGGGAAATCTTTGAACCAAGAAGAGAAATTAGACACATAATTTGGACTACATGATCCCTATAATTCCTTAATTTTATCCTTTTTGCTCCCTATTTAAAAACAAAATAAATCCAGGGCCGGCTGAGTGGCTCAGTTGGTTAAGAGCTCGCTCAAGAGTTTGAGCTTTGAGCAACAGCAGTTTGAGTCCTGGCCCGAGCTGAGCCCAGTGAGCTGCCAACAGGTGGCAGGATGACTCAGCTAAAAAACAAACAAACAAACAAAAAAACCCCCAACAAAATAAATCCTTGTCTTGTTCATATTTTGCAAAGCTAGCCCAGTCCATAAAACCTTCTAATTCCAATAAATTAACTCATTATACAGAAAAACATGGTCCTGAAATTATATTACTATCAGCAATACATATCTAGCCTAAGACACAGGGAAATGTTTGTAATCGTTAAAAGTCATCTGTTTTATGTTTAGCAAATCCTGTTATTATCTATTGTAAAGTTATGCAAGTCATATTGATATCATACTGAATTTTAACATTTCTTTAAATCATTTTTACTGTTAGAGAGGTATTTTTCCTTGAGGCACATGGCAATAAATTAAAACTAGATTTAAAATGCTAAATCAACAAAATACAAAAAAAATAAAAGTATACTTTGCCTTTATAATATTTAAAATTGATTTTGAAACTTTTGGTACTTAAACTCAAGAAAATTAGAAAAAAATGTTTAAACTAATTACATAAATGATTTTTTATAAACCAGAATGACAAAATATGAAAATATAGTTACTAAAATCCAAGAGTATATTA